AGGGGGAAGGGTCTTATAATATAGGGGGAAGGGGTTTACAATCTAAGGGGAAGGGTCTTATAATCTAAGGGGGAAGGGGTTTACAATCTAGGGGGAAGGGTCTTACAATCTAGGGGGAAGGGGTTTACAATCTAGGGGGAAGGGTCTTACAATCTAGGGGGAAGGGTCTTACAATCTAGGGGGAAGGGTCTTACAATCTAGGGGGAAGGGTCTTACAATCTAGGGGGAAGGGTCTTACAATCTAGGGGGAAGGGGTTTACAATCTAGGGGGAAGGGTCTTACAATCTAGGGGGAAGGGTCTTACAATCTAGGGGGAAGGGGTTTACAATCTAGGGGGAAGGGGTTTACAATCTAGGAGGAAGGGTCTTATAATCTAGGGGGAAGGGGTTTACAATCTAGGGGGAAGGGTCTTACAATCTAGGGGGAAGGGGATTACAATCTAGGGGGAAGGGGTTTACAATCTAGGGGGAAGGGGTTTACAATCTAGGGGGAAGGGTCTTATAATCTAGGGGGAAGGGGTTTACAATCTAGGGGGAAGGGTTTTATAATCTAGGGGGAAGGGTCTTACAATCTAGGGGGAAGGGGTTTACAATCTAGGGGGAAGGGTCTTACAATCTAGGGGGAAGGGGTTTACAATCTAGGGGAAAGGGTCTTACAATCTAGGGGGAAGGGTCTTACAATCTAGGGGAAAGGGTCTTACAATCTAGGGGAAAGGGTCTTACAATCTAGGGGAAAGGGTCTTACAATCTAGGGGAAAGGGTCTTACAATCTAGGGGAAAGGGTCTTACAATCTAGGGGAAAGGGTCTTACAATCTAGGGGAAAGGGTCTTACAATCTAGGGGAAAGGGTCTTACAATCTAGGGGAAAGGGTCTTACAATCTAGGGGAAAGGGTCTTACAATCTAGGGGAAGGGTCTTACAATCTAGGGGGAAGGGTCTTACAATCTAGGGGGAAGGGTTTTACAATCTAGGGGGAAGGGTCTTATAATCTAGGGGGAAGGGTAAAAAGCTGTGTTTAGATATGAACTGCGTTTACACTCACCGGCCTCTTTATTAGGTCCACCTGTTCAGTTGCTTGGTAACACAAATTTCTAATAAGCCAATCACATGGCAGCAACTCAAAGCATTTAGGCATCTGGACGTGGTGAAGACGACTTGCTGAAGTTCAAACCGAGCATTAGAATGGGGAAGAAAGGGGATTTAGGTGATTTTGGCACCAACAACTATGCCACGTTCAGACGGGCTGGTCTGAGTATTTAAAAAACTGCTGATCTACTGGGATTTTCAGGCACAACCATCTCTAGGGTTTACAGAGAATGGTCCGAAAAAGAGAAAATATCCAGTGAGTGGCAGTTGTGTGGAGGAAAATGCCTTGCTGATATCAGAGGTCGGAGGAGAATAAGCAGACTGGTTGGAGATAATAGAAAGGCAACAGTAACTCAAATAACCTCTCATTACATCCAAGGTATGCAAAATATCATCTCTGAATGCACAACACATCAAACCTTGAAGCAGATGGGCTACAGCAGCAGAAGACCACACCGGGTGCCACCCCTGTCAGCTAAGAACAGAAAACGGAGGCTACAATTCGCACAGGCTCACCAAAATTGGAAAATTTTGCAAAGGCAGCTTAATCCACGTTTCTCAACCATGGTTCCATGGAATCCTAGGGTTCCTCCAGAGGTTGCTCGTGGTTCCTTGAGCAATTTCTGCCAATCACATAAGTTCCCACTGACACCACAGATCTTTTTTAGCTATCTGTAAAGGGGAAACTCTTCCCAATGACCACAAGTGTGAGGAGTATTCTTCCACTGACCATCACACTAATGTTCCATGAGTTGTAGATATAGTCGTTTCCCTGTCAGGGTTCCCTGACACCAGAATGTTATTTCAAGAGTTCCTCTTTGTTGAGAAAGGCTGCCTTAATCCAATCACCATGCCATTTGTGAAAGCAGATGCTGATTGTCCAAGAAGAAGATGGGAGGTGTTATAGTTGTGGACCCCCCCCCCCCCCCCCCCGTTCTAGGTACACAATCCCATCCTTGGTAATCTGCATATGTGTTAATCCTTTGAGTCACATGGCTGAAGGTGTGTATTGTCAAACCAGCAAGGTAAGGATGTTATAATGTCTCTACCCAGAAGAGCGTCATTGCTCCCCGTGTGGATATAAATGTTGGGGTATCTTCCTGACACCCATTAGAACTGAAGAAGCTGCTTGCATGACTTACGAAACGTTTTCAACATTACAGGACAAGTCCAGTTGAACGGGACCAACTACTACAGGATATATCCCATGACCTGGATACATGAGAACCTTCTAGAAATGTGCAATTCGTTTTGTTACGAATCGAAATTCAGATGGACCGTTCGTGATTCAGAGATTCAGATGTATCCGAATTTCCAAATCACAATAGTAATGAATTTCAACGAATATAAAATAACGAAATGAAATAATGAATTTGAAAATGAATTTATAAGCAATTGAAAATGAATTTGCCTTCGATTCCATTCTTGTCATCATCTTCTGTCACTTTTATATCTTCCTGTATTTATTGTAATACGTTTCCATTTCGAAATTCAAATTAATCTTCGAATTTGAAAATGATTTCGAAATCGAAACACATTGCAATACAGTAAGGTTTAAAAGTGACATAAGATGATAAGAATAGAATGAATATAGCCAGCTTCCGAAATTCTAATCCATCTGAAAACGAGTATGCAAACCGAATCCCAATATACGAAAGAAATCCGAATAGATTATTATTATACAGTATTTATAAAGCGCCAATAGTTCGCTCAGCGCTGTACATTACAAAGGGGGACAAAACAATACCAATACAATGCAAAACATGAGGGGATCGAGGGCCCTGCTCTTTCCAGCTTACAATCTAGGAGGGAGGGGATGGTGGCACAGGAGGAGATAGCTGTGGGGGATGGAGTGGTAGGAAGACTGGAGGAGGTCGGTCAAGTTAGCAGGGGGTGGGGTAGGCTTCCCTGAAGAGGTGGGTTTTCAGGGTGCGCCTAAAGGAGAGGAGAGTAGGTGATAGTTTGATGGATTGGGGTAGGGAGTTCCAGAGGATGGGTGACACCCTGGAGAGAAGTCCTGGAGGCGGGCATGGGAGGAGGAGACCAGGGAACTAGAGAGAAGGAGGTCTTGTGAGGAGCGGAGTGTGCGTGTTGGGCGGTACTTGGATATTAGGTCGGTGATGTAGTTCGGGGCAGTATGGTGGACGGCTTTGTACGTCAGTGTTAGGATTTTGAATTTGATCCGTTGCGCAATCGGAAGCCAGTGGAGGGATTGGCAGAGGGGGGTGGAGGACACTGAATGGAGGTCAGTGGAGGGATTGGCAGAGGGGGGTGGAGGACACTGAGTGGAGGCCAGTGGAGGGATTGGCAGAGGGGGATGGAGGACACTGAGTGGAGGCCAGTGGAGGGATTGGCAGAGGGGGGGTGGCGGAGACGGAGCGGTTGGTGAGGTGAATGAGTCTGGCAGCCGTATTCAGGATGGACTGAAGCGGGGATAGCCAGCGGCGAGGCAGGCCAGTGAGGAGGGAGTTGCAGTAGTCGAGTCGTGATATGATGAGGGAGTGGATGAGCTGTTTAGTGGTTTCTGGAGTTAGGAACGTGCGGATTTTGGCGATGTTGCGGAGGTGGAGTCTGCATGTTGCGGAGGTGGAGTCTGCATGTTGCGGAGGTGGAGTCTGCATGTTGCGGAGGTGGAGTCTGCATGTTGCGGAGGTGGAGTCTGCACGAGTTTGTTAAAGATTGGACTTGGGGCTGGAAGGATAGGTTGGAGTCCAGAATGACACCAAGTACTCTGGCCTGCGGGGCGGGTTTGATGGTGGCGTTGTTGGATGTGATGGAGAAGTCAATGGGGGGGGGGGGTCCGGGCTGGGGGGAAGACAAGAAACTTGGTTTTGGAGAGGTTCAGTTTAAGGAAGTGGAGCGACATCCAATCTGATATGAAATGAATTCCGAAAACGAACCATTCTAACATAACCAATATGGTAAACTAAATTATGAAGTCAATAAACAAATCCAAAACGAAACAAATGTTTCCATGGTGAGCTTCTCTAGAACCTTCTCAGCCGCAGTATAAAATGTTGCTCTGGGGTGAGCTGAGCTGACAAATGACAACCATTCCAAAGACGGATTACAGAACATTACAGTAAAGGGCGTCCTTGGGGGCCCCGATAAGGCAGCTCTGCGTAGAAGTGGAAGAATTCCAGCACAGTAGATAAGAGACGAGGCCTGTGTCCCATCACCCGCACCTCACCTCTCTCCTAGTCCAATGACCACTTCAGGGCCCACAACCCCCCTGTGTGGCTCTCTTCATAAACCATAGGAGGCTAATTTTGTCCCTGGAGATGGATGGTGCACAAAAGACAGAGAAGAAGTGGCAGCCATGACAGTTCAACACCATTAGCCTCCAACACACACTAGTACAGTAACAAAGACTCTTCTTTTAAAGGGTTGCGTCACCAAAGATCTGCCTATGCAGGTGAGGGGCGCCTGCAGATGATGAACTGTGCGCCTGTAATGCCCTGGCTATAGGTGTAGGCCGTTTACATATCTCCTGAAGCCTGGCCGGAAAGCTCCCAGAGATAGCACTGTCCCATCTTGCCTTGTTGCTAGGATGTTGCTAAGACACTCCCAGCTGTTACTGCTCACCCCCACCATCACAGAGGCGATCTCTCATGCACCCGCACATGGGTGGTCCACTATCTCCTAGTCGCAGCATTGCTGAGTACAAGGCAGAGAGAGCGCATACAAGGAGGTTTGAATCGGCCAGGAGGGTCTCAGCAACAAGGCAGGGCAGGATGAAGCCATCTCTGGGAGTTTATTGGCCGGGCTTCAGAAGGTATGGAAAAGGATTACACCTTTAGCAACGGTAATATTCAACTCTGGTCAGAGCTGCACAGTTGGTTTATATCTACAGGGGCCCCTTACCTGTATAGGCAGGGGGTGAACTAACCCTAAAAACCTAAAGTGTAACTAAACCCCGGACCCCGCATTCACTATATCCGCTCTCCCTGGACCCCGCATTCACTATATCCGCTCTCCCCGGACCCCGCATTCACTATATCCGTTCTCCCCGGACCCGTATTCACTATATCCGCTCTCTCCCGGACCCTGCATTCACTATATCCGCTCTCCCCGGACCCCGCATTCACTACATCCGCTCTCCCCGGACCCCGCATTCACTACATCCGCTCTCCCCGGACCTCGCATTCACTACATCCGCTCTCCCCGGACCCCGCATTCACTACATCCGCTCTCCCCGGAACCCGCATTCACTACATCCGCTCTCCCAGGACCCTGCATTCACTATATCCGCTCTCCCTGGACCCCGCATTCACTATATCCCCTCTCCCTGGACCCCGCATTCACTATATCCGCTCTCCCCCGGACCCCGCATTCACTATATCCCCGGACCCCGCATTCACTATATCCCCTCTCCCTGGACCCCGCATTCACTATATCCGCTCTCCCCGGACCCCGCATTCACTATATCCGCTCTCCCCGGACCCCGCATTCACTATATCCGCTCTCCCCCGGACCCCGCATTCACTATATATCCGCTCTCCCCGGACCCAGCATTCAATATATCCGCTCTCCCCGGACCCTGCATTCACTATATCCGCTCTCCCCGGACCCTGCATTCACTATATCCGCTCTCCCCGGACCCTGCATTTACTATATCCGCTCTCCCCGGACCCTGCATTCACTACATCCGCTCTCCCCGGACCCCGCATTCACTACATCCGCTCTCCCCGGAACCCGCATTCACTATATCCGCTCTCCCAGGACCCTGCATTCACTATATCCCCTCTCCCTGGACCCCGCATTCACTATATCCCCTCTCCCCGGACCCCGCATTCACTATATCCCCTCTCCCCGGACCCCGCATTCACTATATCCGCTCTCCCCGGACCCAGCATTCAATATATCCGCTCTCCCCGGACCCAGCATTCAATATATCCGCTCTCCCCGGACCCCGCATTCACTATATCCCCTCTCCCTGGACCCCGCATTCACTATATCCGCTCTCCCCGGGACCCCGCATTCACTATATCCGCTCTCCCCGGACCCCGCATTCACTATATCCCGCTCTCCCCGGACCCCGCATTCACTATATCCGCTCTCCCCGGACCCCGCATTCACTATATCCGCTCTCCCCGGACCCCGCATTCACTATATCCGCTCTCCCCGGACCCAGCATTCAATATATCCGCTCTCCCCGGACCCAGCATTCAATATATCCGCTCTCCCCGGACCCTGCATTCACTATATCCGCTCTCCCCGGACCCCGCATTCACTATATCTGCTCTCCCCGGACCCTGCATTCACTATATCTGCTCTCCCCGGACCCTGAATTTACTATGTCTGCTCTCCCCGGACCCCGCATTCACTATTCTCTCACTGTGTAAAGTGACTTGTCTTGTCGCCGCCCCCTCCTCTAGTATTCTGTAGTGGGTGGAGCCTCTGCTCTCTGCACAAGCTATATACAGCACAGTGATCATGTCTTTGCTACTTTTACAAGGTAATATCTGGGTTTGCAAATGTATTTGTTGTGCACAAAGTAGATTTATATTTTTTTTGGCTAGTAAGTAATATGTTGATATAAAGGTTCTGTGCCGGAGTTCAGCTTTAATAAATTCTGAGTTAAACATCTGGACCCACAAGTGTCCTTTTATGTATCAGGTGTAGATTGTAAGCTCTGAGGTGCGGGGCACTCTGACTCCTCCTGTATTGAACTGTACTGTCTGCCCTCACGTTGTAAAGCGCTGAGCTGCGCTGTTGGCGCGATATAAATCCTGTATAATAATAGAATTGTAGAATCGTTGTGCTCTCACCTCAGACTCCTCGTGTGTGTAGAAACCTTTGCAGATTTTTTTGCAGTCGACGTCACAGAATGCCACAACCTGCAACACAAACAACAGGCTGTCAGTCGCCATCCGCCGAGGCGGAGGAGCTCTCCGTAGTTGGGCCGCATTGTGCAGCTGTGCATGGGAGCCAATCAGCTTCCAGCTTTTATTGCCAAAGCTTAACGGAACAAGCAAACGTTAGAAGCTGATTGGCTCCCATACACTGCTGCACCAGATCTGAGTACTCCATGTTAAGTAAATCCTCCCCATTACCTATAGAAAAATCAGAAGCAGATACATTCAGTGCTCAGCAGTGACGGGTATAAGACGGAATTATTGAGGAATGATGGGTAACCTGCCCATAAGGAGCCCCGATCGCATGATGGACAGGATCGCATGATGGACAGGATCGCATGATGGACAGGATCGCATGATGGACAGGATCGCGTAATGGGCAGGATCGCATGATGGACAGGATCGCATGATGGACAGGATCGCATGATGGACAGGATCGCATAATGGACAGGATCGCATGATGGACAGGATCGCATAATGGACAGGATCGCATAATGGACAGGATCGCATAATGGGCAGGATCGCATAATGGGCAGGATCACATAATGGGCAGGATCGCATGATGGACAGGATCGCATAATGGGCAGGATCGCGTGATGGATAGGGGTTACCTGGAGTGTCATCTGGTTGTGTTTTGCCTTCACTGGTCCCTCGCCCCTCAAATTTACATGTTAAAGTTTTAAATAAAATCTATTTTCATTGCTAACCTTATTTTAGTCCCAGTGAAGCCATCACTGGGTCCCCATGCTTCTCTATGTAATGCAGGCATATCGTGGCTGGTGGGAGGGGCCCGCAGGGTGCTGGACATAGTTTCTTGAAAACATCACAGCCCCTGCCTCAGTACGCCTCTTAAAAGCCCTCAGTCCTGATACAAACAGTGGGCTGGCTTTTGGGAGGAGATATGCAAATATCACAATGCCTCGGTGAGTGGGTGTCAGTCTGGAATTTACATAAGCAATGGCCTCCATGATTGGAAGAACCAAAGTCCAATGAATGAAAGGGGCGGGGCCAGGGACAGTCAGGCTGGGGAGGAATGCTCTAGCTAATGCTGGATGTCCTGCAGCCAGGAAATGAGGCGGGACTTGCTGCAGCTTTTAAAGCACATTGTGAGAAGCTCACAGTGTGCAGTGAAATCAGAAGGAGCCGTTTCAGTCAGCTACACCTGTGCAAGACCAAAGGGGAGGAGCCAGTACACCTGTGCAAGACTGAAGGGGAGGAGCTGGTACACCTGTGCAAGACTGAAGGGGAGGAGCCGCTACACCTGTGCAAGACTGAAGGGGAGGAGCCGCTACACCTGTGCAAGACTGAAGGGGAGGAGCCGCTACACCTGTGCAAGACTGAAGGGGAGGAGCCGCTACACCTGTGCAAGACTGAAGGGGAGGAGCCAGTACACCTGTGCAAGACTGAAGGGGAGGAGCCGCTACACCTGTGCAAGACTGAAGGGGAGGAGCCGCTACACCTGTGCAAGACTGAAGGGGAGGAGCCAGTACACCTGTGCAAGACTGAAGGGGAGGAGCCGCTACACCTGTCCAAGACTGAAGGGGAGGAGCCGCTACGCCTGTGCAAGACTGAAGGGGAGGAGCCGCTACGCCTGTGCAAGACTGAAGGGGAGGAGCCACTACACTGTGCAAGACTGAAGAGGAGGAGCCGCTACACCTGTGCAAAACTGAAGGGGAGGAGCCGGTACACCTGTGCAAGACTGGAAGGGAGGCGGGATTTAAAGAAGAACTCTGCTAATGACCACCTATACCTATACTGACTGCACAATAGAAACCAATGCTGTGTCAGAACAGACAAATCTTCTGTGAAAAATCTTTCTTGTTGTCACTCTATAAAATCATGACTATCTGAGTAAGTTATGTCTATTAGACACTGCAGGAGCTGCCATTCCCTCGTCTCCCAACATACAAACTCCATGTGGCCAATCCTCAACCCGGTCTCCATAGTGAGTCACCAACACATAGGAGTTCAGACTTTAATGGCTGCATGCTTACTCCAGGTAAGTAACCCTGAGGTAAGTGACAACCTTTAGGTGACAACCAGGTCAGCAATATCAATCCAGAAGACTGGGGACATCTAGTGGCAGAAAAGAGGCACTGCAGGGAACAGCTCCAGACTGATGGTGTGCCTCCTTCATATTCTGCTCTAAGGCTCGGTTCACCTATGCAGTGTGGGTTTGATGCGTTTCTGCAGTGCTTTTTGGAGTGTGTTTTGCATTTTTGCACATTCGTTTTTGACACTTTTTGCGTTTTTTCTTTCAGCTTGTTGCTGGGCAGAACAAAACGCATCAAAAACGCAATAAGTGATTTTCTGCAGCATCTCCATTGAAGTCTATAGAACCAAAAATACAACATTTTGCATTTAAAAAAGTCCCCGACCCTTTCCAGAAAACACACCGGGTGAAAACGCGGAGATGTGAACCTGTCCCATAGGAAGTCATGTTAATTGGACTGCTGTGAGCTTCTGGAAAACGCAGAGGTGTGAGCCTAGACTTCGGGTCGGTTCACACTATAGAAACGCAGTCCAGATGCGTTTCTGCATGCAAGTTTTTGATGCATTCCAGCTCATTTTTCCCCCTCTCTTTTTCTTTAATTTAAATAGGGACATGTGCATTTTAGATGCGTTTTGTTGCGTTTTTTTATCCAGTACAGTTCTGTGCAGGAAAGATGCAACCTGTTCGTCTTTTTTTTTCCTGCATCCGGAACGCACCGGAACTGCAAGCACTGATGTGAACTATGACATTGAGAACCATATCACCGACTTTCTGCGCATTTTGGATGCAGGAAAAAAGCAACTGAAAACGCATGGAGTGTGAGCTGGCCCTTAAACTTTTATCAGAAAATCAAAGTTACGTATTACGGAGAGCTTGCACCTTTAAAGAAGAAGTTGTCAATGTATTTTCCAATATGTCTGTATTTTGCAGGTTCCCTTTAAAGCAGAAAATAAAATAAATAAATAAATAAGAGCCTGTTCAGGAATGAATGAAAACCAAAAAATCAGCTTTATTCGTAACACACCTGCAGCCTGGAGCTGTTCCCCGCAGTGCCTCTTTTCTGCCAGTAGATGTCCCCAGTCTTCTGGCTTGAACAAAGGCCATCAGCACTCTGTTCATTTGCATGGTCCTCAGGACATGCGCCGATTGGCTCCTTGTGCTGCTTCTCCCTCCCCAGTCTGACCTCTGCTGTACAGGGACTGCAAGAGGCTGAAAGAAACTCTAGTACTCACACTGCTTGCTTTACTCAATGAATTATATAAGCTGATATAAAGGGCACACATGAATGCAGCTATGCAATCAATAAATGTTTATTTTGAATACAAATGATGTAAGTTAGAATTGCACCAATATATCGGCCGCTGAATATAATTGGCTGAAAATCGGGTTATCAGCGTTTTGCCGAGAGAAAAAAAAAAAAGGTGCAGATAATGATAACTGATTTCAATGCAAAGACGCCCCCTACTGACTTCAATGCAAAATTGTGTCCCGTTGACTTCAATGCAAAATCACGTCCCGTTGACTTCAATGCAAAAATGCATCCCACTGACTTCAGTGCAAAATAGCGTTCCATTGACTTCAATGCAAAATTACGTTCCATTGACTTCAATGCAAAATTACGTTCCATTGACTTCAATGCAAAAATCACATTCCATTTACTTCAATGCAAAATCGAATTCCATTGACTTCAATGCATAATCGCGTCCAGTTGACTTCAATGCAAAATCGAGTTCCATTGACTTCAATGCAAAATTGTGTACTGTTGATTTCAGTGCAAAATCGCTTCCCATTGACTTC